CCATTGAAAGATAAGATATCTACAAGCGCGCGTTAAATATTATATAAAATAAATAGAATAATCGAATCTCTATAATTAGCACCCAATGATTAGACCTTATTGATTTTTTCTAGCTGTTAATATTTTTGTCTACAATTACTTTTTATACAATTTTAGAGTACGATTAATTTAGGTTATATAAAAGCATTTATATATACAAGCGTTTTCTTCTCAAAACCATGTTTTCAGAACGTGCGTGCACAATTGTGCAAAAACTACTTACTAATCCGATCTCGTCACTTGCGATTGTACATCAATCTTCTCAATACACTCTATTCTAGAACATAAACTTCAAAATTTTTAATATTCCAACAATTATTATTTTTCCGTGTCCTGTAACAGATCATTTTGTCACATTACGTTAAACTGACATCATTTTATTATTTTTTTAATGTTCACGTCCTTCGTCAATTTATTAGATATATCTTTTTCACGCTTTTTAATTTGGAACTCAAAATTCAAGAAATCGTTTTGAATATCGACTCTTGAGCTCAAATTAAATGAATGTCCTATACAGTCGAGAAAAGTTCAGGAAATGTCAGGAAGAGAGTATCGCAATAAAAAATAAAAAATTTCACATATATTACGCGAATATAAAATAATTTATTTTTTGTTCCTTTTTTTATATGTATGTGTTTTCTCTCGGTCAACCGGACCGGACATTAATCAAATGATTAATTAATTAATTAATCAATCAATCAATCAATCAATCAATCTCTCTCTTTCTTTCATCAAGATTATAATTAAATACCTTCAAGATGTATATAAACTGTGATCATGGAATCTCGAGAAGCATTTCGCAATTGAAAAAATCTCGGTAATTGAACAAAAAACGCACATAACATCACATAGAGTTCTCTCTCTCTCTCTCACACACACGTCGATAAACGTACTAAATAAATCTTTTTATCACGTCAACTATATAAGAAAAAATTACACATATTCTAGGAAAAACAACACAAAATTTGATTGAAAAAACAAGTACATTATTTTTGAAGAATTAAAGTGTGTTTCTTGTTCCTTAATAAAGATTACAACAATTAAATTATACGTGAGAAATGACTTCTTTTTTTTAATTCTATTAGTCCTTTTCTCATTATCGTCCAACCGGATCAATTAATCTAACATTGTGTTGATACAACTTATATCCAATTTTACTAAAACATTGATGTTAAAGCTAAAAGTATCGTTAATTATAATTCTCTCGTCTATTTCCGTTCTCTATATGGATAGAAAAGTACTAGAAAAGAACAACGAACATATATACATATTATCGCTAGTGTTAACTGAACACAGATCGTTGTTTTACGAATCAGTGAAAGGAAACCAAAGTTCTATTCACATCATAAAAGTATGCATCGCACAAAAAAGTCTCACTAAGTTTTGCGACACACACACCAAATTCGAACCATCGCCGTTGCGAACTCGTTGAGAAGAGCAGATCTATCATTTTATTATTATCTAAGATCCTTTTTTAAGGACAAGATCTTAACATCTTACGAGAAAAAATCTTCGATGTGTTGTATGTTCTAAACATGTGTACATATATATGTAAAATGTCAATAGTCAAGATGTTTTGAATTTGTTTTTTTTTTGCAGGCTTTTTCGAGAGAAAGAAATGTATTTCAAATATTGAATAAACAAATCGAACACAAATAAAATACAAGTTTCAAGAGAGAGAAATGATGCGCGAAAAAATGTATCCTGGCAAAAATATGGTATTTTAAAATATGTAACATTAACGCGCGTAACTTTTAAAAAATTTCTGAAAGGCAGAGGAAGATAATTATAATAATAAAGTTTGGCGAAAAACAAAATCTAACAACACACGTATACACGCGATTCATCTGCATTATTTTATAACAAAAGACGATAAAAATTGCTTATGTGCGTGTGCACCAACTCATTGATTTTAAATAACTCGAATAATTTGCTTCTCTCGGTTGATATTAGGATTAAAGTTTAAACGGAACATTTTTTTTTTTTACTGGAGATCGATGGGTAACGGAAGACAAGTTATATGTTTCTTTTTCACGCGTCCTTCTCTTCTTCCTCCACCTTCTTCTTTTTCTTTTTTTTAAATCTTTTTTCATAGATTACAATGTCCTTAAACTTGTGATAGTCCACACATTGCTTTTTTTTTTTCCATTAACAGAAATCCAATATCAACGATGTAAGCTATACTAGCACGATATACAATTTCAGTCTTGCTCGTTTTGCTCATTATGTCTGCATTTCTGAATCTTCACATCTTTGAATCGCATTTTTTCTCTATCTCTCTCATCTTTCTCTCTCTCTCTCCCTCTCTCTTTCATACAACAAAGATTTTAAATCCGGCACTTGTTTACATCGCATAAGTCGTCGCACAGTGAATTATAAATAAATAAATAAATAAAAACTCGGGATGTGTGTATATATGTTTGTTGCGGGATATAGAAGAGAATAAAATATCATTCGCACGCTTTAAGTTATATAATTATGTATTATGCATTTCAAAGTTTTTTCTCAGATCTTGCATACTCGTGCGCGACAGAAAGTACACAAAACAAAACTCCTCTATACAGCAGAGAGTCTTTTTTGACTCAAATTACTCTCTTGAGTAAAACAGCATGATTTGAGCCAAATTCTCCTTTCCATGAGTGTGTCGATACCCATTTTAACGTACACTCTCATCAACTACATTTCTTTTGTTAAAATTATATTACTAGTCAATTACCGATCAGTATTTGTATCCGCAGTAGTATCCGCGCAATTCGTGCAAAAAAAGGAAACGGGGGAAAACAAATTCAAAAAAGTTGCTCGGTTTCGAAAAGTTGAGTCAAGAGGAACCATTTATTTACCTATGTCAAAACTTTTATCAATTTATTTGAATTTTATCTTATTAGAGTTCTTTCCAAGATATTTCTATATATATTTAACTATATACACACATTCACACCTGTATAATAAAAATTTAAATACTTAACGAATACTTTATACATACATATATATATATATATACATATATATATATATATATATGTATATTCTATTACTTTACAAAATGTTATTTTTTCTCGACTTTCAAACAATATGTACTTTCTTTCTTCACATACATCGCAAATTATTTAAAACTTTGAATATATCTTATAACAAGTGTCTTGCGTTGTATAAAGAAAGTTTTTGTCGCAGAAATGCACTTTCGCACATACGTGTATACGCGTTGTGATACGCGTTATCCGAAAAATGTTTGATCGTTACAAAATATTTAAGGTAGTACATGCAGTATGTATATTATAACTGAATTGTTCAACACTATAATATTGCATCGTGTCTCAGATTGATTTAAACTGAAACTCGCGCTTTCCTGAATTACGAAGCTACCTTACAAGCTTCTAAATGTATATCACGCATCGCACATTTTTTTTATAATCATATCGTTGTATTAATTAAATATAAATTGATAAAATTAAACATCTACGCGCGCATATTTCTTTCTCGTTGTTCAAACAATTAAATATAAAACTTAAATTTATTACTAATGCGTGAGGTAATCGTGTTAATTATTACAAAGAAAGAGAAACAAAAAGTCTCTAAGGTAGAAATTTCGTAAAAGAATTTCTCAAAGTGCATATAATAAGTAATCTTCGCGTCTCGTCGTTGATTTTAATAAGTGTATCTTATTATGTGTATCACACGATTCTATATCTATATATTAGATCGTAATATATAAATTGTATTAAAAGAAGGAGGGAGGGAGAGGAAGGAGAAAAAGAGAGCGAAAGATCGAGAAGTATTTTACAGAAGAGCCCGAAGAAACTCTCTATAGTTGTATTTTCTTTCTCCTTCTCTTTCTCTCTTTTACTCTAGCAAATCAGAACTATAATATATTGAACTATATGCCAGATACTAGATATGTATTAATGTGACTATAACGTATATATGAGAAAAATATATTGCAACAAAAATAAAAATTTAAATAAACGTTTATATTTCTTAAAAAAAATGTTGCTTCTATTCATAACTTTCAAGCTTATAATTCTTTCGTTTTATTAAACAGATAAAATATTTTTTTAATTCTGCTTTTCTTACTTTATTTGTTTTTTTTTTTTTTTTTTACAAGTCAGCTTCTCTCTTCTCTCGACTGTATTTTCCAAAAATATTTAAAATATCTAAGAGTAAATACTTTTAAAACACGTGATTTGTCGAATAAAACTTTTATAACACGTTGAAAAATCTCGATCACTCTGTAAATCAATAATAATATTCTTAAAAGTTAGCAAAATCTTTCTATTGAGTATATATCGCGCATATAAACGTAATTCTTTCTTAAATAAATTTTTTACGCGCTATTAAAATCTTGTTATGTTTCTTGCGCATTGATTTCGTCATTACAAAGCTCAATATCCTCTTACGGATTAATTATAAATCACTATAAAAAGATGTTTTTCAATTGTGTGAACATACTTAAGAAAGACAAAATTAAGAAAGTTGATACAAAAATCATTTCGGAGAAAAATTTTACAGATAAGCGACGACTTAAATGCCGTTTATTCTTACATGTAGTTTATAAGTTAGTTTTACATCCTTCATAAGGATTCCACAAAATTAACAGATTACTACAGTGACGTACGCATGCACACGTACAATATACATATATGAATAATATATATGTATACACACACACACACACACACACACACACACACATTCGTGTATATTTTGGCGACATATATTTTGAACATACCTTTATAATACACGAATGATATACGTATCGTATCTAATAAATTCAGAAAATTTATTTTTGTAAATAGTAAGTAGCGTGTCTAAAGATAAAAGTTACATTTATTTTCTTTTGTTACAGATACATATATATACATATATATATGTATAGAAACTGTGTATATATATATATATATATATACATACATACATACATACATACATATATATATATATATATATATAAAGTTTATTTTGTTTTCACAAATTTTGTCTTACACAAAAGAATGTTATCACATTCGACATCGAGCAAAGATTTACGTTATAATCAAAGTATAATGAGAAAGAATTATATAGATTGTTTTTAAAGATAATTTCCTATCTCGCGTTATATTATTTAATATTTTAAATATTTTTCTTTCATATAAAATGTATCGGACTTGTACAATGTCTCTCAGCCGATACATTTATATATTTCCACCGGAAGAATGAAAGGGAAATGCTCCAAACTGAAAATTTACAGGAGTTTTTGGAGAAGCACAAGTGTATAGAACATCATCGGATTGTAACTGCGTTCTGTTAAGATTCGGTTCGGAAGCCGATCTCGTAATTTTAGGTAAACCGCGTAGAAGACTCTCCAAACTAGCCAAAATTTGACGAAATATCGGCCGTTCATCTCGCGAAAAATTAATACAGTCCACTGTGAGTCTCTTGAGTGCTTTCGGTGTATCGGAACGTAATTTGTTCAAGTCTGGTCGAAGATAGCCGCATCCTACCATGAACAGTATCTGATCTTTATTGTTTATATTTGAATACGGTAGCTGACCAGCTAATAATTCAAACAACACTACACCAAACGCATAAACGTCAGATCGAAAACTGTATGGATTTTCTTCTTTCATTCTAATGACTTCCGGTGCCATCCAGAGAATAGAGCCAGTCGGTTGGTGAAACTGCTGAGAACCGGACCAAAGAGTTTTCACGGTCGCTAAACCGAAATCGCCAATCTTAACGGTGAGATCGTCGTGAAGGAATATGTTGTTGCTCTTCAAGTCTCTGTGAATAATGTTCTTCGCATGCAGATAGTCCATACCTTGCGCAGTCTGCCTCCCGATTTCTATCAATGTCAGTAGCTCAAACTTGGTCTCGTTGACGTGCAAATGTTTATACAGAGAGGATCCTTCGCACCATTGCGTAACAATCGCGAGCTGTGGTTTACTGACACAGCCCATAAACAGCAAGATATTCACATGCCGGGTTTTCCGTAGAACGGCTACCTCATTTTTAAATGCTTGCAACTGTGCGGACGTAGGAATTTTGACGTTGAGCGTCTTCACAGCAACAGGTCCGTGCCAATGAGCCTTGTAGACAGTTCCGAACGAACCCGATCCAATGCGCGGCCCCATTAGAATCTCATCCATCAGGATTTCCCAATCCTCGATAGATTCTCTCGGAGCTAAAAATACCTTCGAAGAGGATTCGTCGGCGGATCTTGCTCTCGGTCGCTTCGATCTTAAAGTACTGGTGGGACTAGCTTGTGTTGACTGACTGTGCTTTGTTGGACTACTAGACACAAGATTCGGAATAGCACCAGGCGGTCGACCCAAACTCCGTGATCTACTGGACTCATCTAGAAAAGGATCACCGATCGGCGGCTTGACCGTATTGATGCAGACGTTAGGTGCCGAGCTCGAACGGTCCTGCTGACCCAAGGTACGCGGAGGTTTCTCTCTCGACGGTGGCAACGAGGGAGGAGGATAACTCGAGGGGACTTGCAAAATTCCAGCAGTAGCCTCGGGATTGTGTGCGAGCAACGCTTTGTAATAAACATCCTGCATACGCGCTTGATGACACAGAGAAGGCACGCTGTTCGCGCATCTCTGATGGAACTTGAAATTACACGTTCTGCAATAAAATCCTTGGAAGAGCAATTTTCTGCAGCACTCGCAAAACGCTAGCGAAAAGAACGTCTTACGCACATAGTTGTGCGATATAGAAGTTGTTATGGGAAACTTGTCAAGAATTTCCACCGATATCTCATCGCATTCCAGTCTGGAGATATCCGCGTCCCAAGATATCAAGTATTTGGAATTCTCCATACCTTTTATGTAAACCGCGCACATTTCAGGTGTGAGATTTCGAAGTTTCATAGCTTTGGCCAATGCGTCTCTCAAGGGAAGCCCTTCCCGCACTTGTACACTGGTACGTTGCTGATTCGGTAAATGCGCCCTCAACGTATTGAGAGATTTTACTGGTGTTCTCGGGCTCGTGGCTGCGATATTATCTATGTGCACATCTGTCTGCGTTCCGTTGTTAGTGTCTGTCGCGTGCGCTCCGTTGTTACCTTCCGCACTCTGCTGCGTCCCATTATTATTGTTCACAGTTGTTGACTGCGCAATAGTGTTGTTTTCCATCGCTTGCGCACCGTTATTGCTCCTTGCCATTTGCATTCCACTCTCACTTTCGGTCATTTGCATTCCATCGTTGCTCTCTGTTATACGCACATTGGTTTCTTGTACTCCGATGTCGATTTCCATCATCTGTTCTCCGTTGTTACTATCCATTGTCGCTGCTGTTGCATCGTCGACGATGTCTCCCGATATTTGCGCCTCATTCACGCTCTCTATCGCGCACACATTTTCAAACGTCAGTTCCGCACCGATGTAACTCTCTCGCGTTAAATTTTCAGTCTCTGATACGAAAACACCACAGCTGATTTTTTCAGCGTTCAGCAGTTCGTTTAGTTTTTGCTTTCTGAATTCGAGCTCGTGCAACTTACTCGTCAGTTCGTTATATTCCTTGACATAAATCGAGGGTGGATTCTGCATGCTGGCGAAGCGACTGTTAAGAGCGTTGATGTTCTGCCGCGTGACATGTATCACGCTCTGTATGTTGCACAGCTCGCTGCAGAGCGGATCCGTCTCCGCTACGCAACAATCCTCGGTTTCGCTAACTTCACCGGACTCTAGGCCGCTTTCCGGGCGTGAGGACGTCATCGCGTACCGCCGCAACAGTGGCGGCAAGTGACTGTCTTTTTTTCTGTGCCGATGGCGGTGCGTTAACGCCGTGGACGAGGATACCGCGGGTGACGTGATCGTTTGCTCGATCTGATCGTCGATCCTACGACACGAAAACAACTCCGTGCACGCGTTTCGACAGACCGCTGCTGAGTGATACCTGCGCTCGCCTATCACGGCCATCTTCTCGCTGCGTCGGGCAGCATCCTGGGCCACCGCTGCCGTGCTTCGGAACACCTTGGTAGCCCGTGTACGCGCTACCTGCAAGTCGAGGGAACGTTTCTCGCACGAGAAAGAACGCGTCGCCTTCTTCGTTCTTATACACACACATACGCGTACGTGCGCGTGCGCGCGCACGCACACGCGCGCGCGCGCGAGCACACACGCACACACAACACACACACAACACACACACACTCTCTCTCTCTCTCTCACCTTATACGCTCTTTGTCTCGCTTCTCACCACGTCGTCGTTGCACGTCGTTTTCCTTCCTTCTTCTCCGTTGCGTTTCTTGGTGCTGCTACTCGCCGAATCAAATCGCTGCAAAGACGCTCGCGGCATGTCGCGACAGCGCTCTCCGCTCGCTCGTGCACTTGTCACCACGTTCAACTTTTCTGTAATCGCCACTCGTGTCATACGATACTTTTTTCTATTTATTTATTTATGTATTTATCTCTCTCTCTCTCCTACTTCTCTTTTGTGATGAGCGCTGGTCATCGGTCCACCCTCAACGTTGTAAACCCAATCTCCAACTTGATGCGTACGCAATACGGCCTCCAACTGTCCCCGACACATAAAACTGGCACGAGAACCGCGGCGCTTCGGTTCGCTGCCAGTGTCGTCGCTACGATACGACGCCTCCCTCCGATCCTTGATTTACACAATTTGCCTGTTCTCTCTATTTCTTCGTTATTGCGAAAGATGTTGGATGTGAGACGCGACAGTGTTCCAAACGCTTTCCAACGCCAGACGTAAAATCGTTTTTTATGTACTTTTTATTTTTTCCAGAATGTTTTTAACCGGTTTGATCATCAAGCTTCGATATATATTTTAAGCTCCGTTTGTACACCACTAGCTCTTTGTGGAAACTCGTCTCGTTCGTAATTTATTTCTCAAGCGGGAATACACAAAGCAAAGAGCTTTTCTCGATTTGAATTTTCGACGGAAAAACTCGGGCTACGCTCGAACGTATGCATGCGACTGCGCTTCTTCGCTCGCAAGAAGTTTGTGAGACTCGTTTAAATTTAGGTCCTCGTTATACGTCTCGATCGCGCGCGAGAGAGTCGTATATCGTCCCGGTCGACCATCCGCTTGCGAATTCGCAATCGCTCACTATCTCTCGCAGCATCGAATCGACGACGCAACGCACGCGCTGCCGCCCCGATACATACATAATTCAAGTTCAATTTTTCCGTAAACACTTGCGTATTGCGCGTTCTCTGACGTCACTGCGGGTACGTTTACGCTTTGACGTCAGTGGTATATGTGGTGGTGCACACCGTCGCCCACCGTCGCCGGGCAACGGAAAAGTTGATTTCTGTTAACTGGGCAACTGTTTTCACACGCTAGTATAATATTGCTAGTATATTCGCGAAATCACCTGAATTTGAGGGCGAATATTTTCATTTATCGATTGATCAATCACGTATTACGCGCGCAAATGCAACAACCATCCCATCGCACAGCGAAGCTGCGTTTGCACGTAACGTGCGATCGACTCGATCAATGAATTTACAAAATTCACTCTTTAGCGCTTGGAAAATATTAAAAGAACACAAGAACGATTTTTTCCCGTGCGTTTTCGCACAACACATTTTTTTTTACACGTATTCTTTGCTATTTAATGATTGATGTTTGATTACTTGTTTGATCACATAATATAGACGACCAATCGCATTAATTGTTTGAGATAACGACCAATCACGTCGACACGATCGATCGATTTAAGGTTAACGTTCGATCGGAATTCGTGAGACCGAATTATCTATTTATCGCAATTTTATATCGTGCAAGTCACGCAGTGTTGATTGTGAGACGATGCGCAACATTTCAACGACTAGTATTGTCGCGAGATGTCAAAGCACCTAGCTGGAAAACTTGCTTTAGTTACCGGTTTGTAAAGGAGTTTAGTATTTAATAAAAGAACGTTTTATAATTTTTTGGATTGATAAAATTATAATTAATATATAATCCATAACACACACACAACTCTTTCTCCAAATAATTATCGCAGAAAATACAAAAACAGTTGATTGATCGGCTTTGGCCAACTACTACATTAAACAAACATATTTATACGTTATTTTCTCCCTCTCTCTCTCTCTCGATTTATTGCAGGTGCTGGCAGCGGTATCGGAAAGGCGGTATGTCAAATTCTGGCCCGAGAAGGTGCCGATGTTGTGGCAACGGATCAAAATATCAACACCGCTCAAGAAACTGTATTTACTTTGAAAGGTTTTTTTTTACAAGAATCAATTATAATCGACAATATTTCTTTATCACTCGTGATATCGAATTTAAATTAGCACTTGACATTCACCTTATATGTTTAAAACACGCAACTTGTACTTATTATAATTATAACGTAATAAAAAAATTAACGTTAATATATATTACATTCGTTATCGCAGGTGACAGACATATAGCACTGAAACTACAAGTCACCAAGCGAGATGATATCGAAGGAGCATTTAGAGAAATCACGAGACAATTTTTGAAACCACCTTCCATCATTGTTAATTCAGCGGGAATAACGTGTGATAATTTTTTGGTGAAACTCAGTGATAACGATTTTGATAACGTAATCAATGTTAATTTGAAGGGCACTTTTATGATCATGCAAACTGCCGCTAGAGCAATGATAGAATCGAACGCAACCAAAGATTCTTCTATCATCAATGTAAGTTCCATTATCGGTGCGCGAGGAAATATTGGACAAAGCAATTACAGTGCTTCAAAAGCTGGAGTGATAGCAATGACAAAGAGCGCTTCTATGGAATTTGGACAGTATGTGTCGTCTATGCACGATTTTATGCGTTTTTTAGATTTATAAACTTGGCCACATTTCTGTATTAGATCTTTCGTCTTAAAATTCGTTCCGCGAATGAAATCTGTCATTAAAATATCTTTCATTAGTTTTGGCACATCTTTTACAAAATAAATGCATTTTTAGGTTTGGAATCAGAGTAAACGCGGTACTGCCTGGTTTCATAGAAACTCCCATGACCGCAGTTATACCGGATAATATTAAAGAAATGTTTACAAAAAGAATATCATTGCAAAGAATGGGAAAACCAGAGGAAGTAGCAGAGGTCGTTACATTTCTGGCTTCTGACAAGAGTTCTTACATAAATGGAACAACTATTGAAATTACCGGAGGAATGACTTGAGATAAATTTGTCTACTTTCTACACGTGTATATATATATAAATGTACAATTTTCATTACACGTATTAAAGAAAAATTTGTAAACGTGCGCCATCGTTGAGACCGCAATAAAATAAAGCACGTTTTGTACCGTACAAATAATAGCAACGCTATTTCCTTTTCTTTCCTTTAAGTTTCTTTGCGTGTCTATACGCTTTGTAGTGTGTCTTTTTCTTCTCTTCAATAATCTCTTTATACTTGGATTTGTTATATCTCTTAAAATTGGCATCTGCCATTAGCTCATCGACAATAGTTTTCTTACGCTCCTTTTTCGTGAGACGCGACGAATAAAAGTCCAATGGCGAATCAATAACCTTGCCGATGTGAAAATGTTTCGGCAACGCTTTTGTGTCGTTTTTTTTGTAGAAGCGTTTAGGATCCAACACCGATCTCATTTGCAACACTTCAAGATCGTGTCTAATTTCTGGCGTAATTCGAGGCGCTTTCATGTTAAACCATCCCGCGCCGATTCCTGCCTTCTTTTTTTCTTTTTGTTTAAGCTTTTCTAACTGACGTTTGCTCAACTCGTACGGTGGTACAACATGCAAATTTTCAAAATCGCTCTTGATAACACTTTTTTCCAAAATCTTATCCAGCGGATTTACTTCTTCTTTCATGTTTGCTATTTCTTCCGCAAGATCATAGGTCTTATGCGAACACGTCCAACCCATATCAGCTTCAAATTTCTCAAGATTAATGTCTTTGCTAGAATCATATTTCTTCCTTATTTCTTCTTTAACCAAAAGATAGTCTCCATTGTGTATTTTCTCCATATCTGTTAAAAGCAATAAGATTTTTAATTTTATTTGCAATATACACAGAAAACAATTGATTAGTATACATTCATATTAGTATACATATATGGTAGGTAACAACATACGTCTCATCTTGGGGTTCTTTTTTATTTTTTTCCTAAGTGTGATTGATATTTTTGTTTTTTCTTCTACTAAAATTACGCTTATATTTAACGCATTTTGAAGTGAAAAAATCTTCAAGTACCTACGAGAGACCGAAAATACCGCACGCAAGTTCCAATAATCACGCTTGTGCGCAGCGACACTATCCCATTCGACAGATTTCCCAATAGAATCTAACCTTAACAATCGTCAATTTGAACGCTTGACAACTTGCTTCGCGAAATGAAAACTTTTCGGTCAGATTCGTTTGTTTTAGATTAAAATGAATTAAATAAGCGCGTAATTTTATTATTTATCACGATTTTCCTGAGACCTCGTTCCGCGCGAGTAATTTTCTCAAACACTTTTGCACAAAGTCCAAACTAATACACTATAAAAAGAAGAGTAATTACCGATATGTTTAAGTCATTCTACAATAAGTTGCAAATGTTCCCCGTCGCCAGTTGCGAAAGATGACAACTACTGGAAGAAAAGTGCTACTAAATATAATAAAAATTATAAATTAACTGTGGACAAGATTTGTTTACCACAGTTTTGACTCGGTGGATCGGTACACTGTAAAACGAGAAAATAAACGCGGAGCAGACGAAAACTCGTCCGTTTTGCGCATATTCCCTACCAGAAAGCCCGAAGCTATTGGCTGCCAGCTGGTATCTCGCGCGTCGCGCTCAACGCTCTTTTTCACACTTTTATCCGATTTGCTTCTCTCTTTGACTCAAAATTCACCAATCACGGTAGCATTTTTGCGCTTAAAGCGTCGTCTACAATAAGAAAGTTCGGTCGATTATTCCGTTCGAATTACCAATCATATTGGTCGATCGACTGAAATGACCAATCGCGCGTGACTCACGATCGATCGATAAGTTAAAATCGGACATAGCGGAAACTAATCTTATATCTTCTTGAAGCTTAAGTCTTAAATTCTTCTTATAGACGATGCCTAAAGGGTCGTCTACAACGGAGAGTTGTAGGCCGTAACAGTAAGAAATTGACAAATCACAATCGATTATTCTTCTGTACTTTGTCTGTGATTGGTCAATTTCTTACTATTACGGCCTACAACTCTCCATTGTAGACGGCTCTTAATATGTACGCTTAAAAAAAGACAAATAAGTTTTTATCGAAATTTTATTTTTTATATATATATATAGCGTATACATATAAAATTTATCGGCTGGTCACAGAAACTTGCCATACACGGATAGTATTATCAGAATATCCAGCAAATAACGTTTGTCCATCTGTAGACCATGCTAATGACAAACATAGAGGAGGCTCTGCTTTGCTGGTAGCCGATACTACCTCGGGTTTTAATTCCTCGACCATTTCTTTAGTTTCGAGATCCCAAATCTTTATCCACGGTCCAAAAGCTGCGCAGAGCCAGTAACGGTTTGGACTGAAGCACAGAGCCGTAATGATATCATTGTGATCCAAAGTATGAAGGTGCTTCCCATCATTTAAATCCCATAACATAGCTTTACAATCCTGCAAAAAAAAAATAATGAAAATTTGTATATAAAACGATTAACGTCGTACTTTCTTCATGTATGTACGTATTTTTACGCACGCACGTGTATATCTATATAAACAATCAGATTTGATAATTTAAAAAATATATATTTAACATACCTTCCCGCCAGACGCACAGAGCGATCCATCAGGTGATACGGTAACAGTGTTTAGATATCCCGTATGACCGCTATGATTAATTTTCAATCTACAATTTGTTAGATTCCACACCTGCAAAATATGAGTTGTGAATTATTTAATAAATCACGTGTCTAATTATGTTAACAAAAATTATGTAAAATATATATATCAGTCCCATATCCGTATACACTCATATATATATATGTATATATCATGAATTACAAAATATACATCACTCTCACAAGATAGTTTGCGTTATTTCCTCTTTCAAATTATATAAATCTTTATATATACACTTTATTTTTTTACCTTGACAACACGATCCCATCCTGCAGACACAATAATGGGATTTGCGTGATTGGGAGAAAAACGTACACAACTGACCCAATCAGTGTGTCCATCATCTTGAATGGTGTATTTACATTCGGCCAATGTGTTCCATAGTTTAATTGTTTTGTCTCGCGAACCGGAGACAATTTGACGATTGTCCACAGAAAAAGCAACACTCAAAACATCCTAGTAACAAATATAAAATCCATAAACACTCAATAACGCAATATACAGTCAAACTTCGCATAAGTATGCGCCGCTAAAACAAAATGCATAAAAATATACATAAATAAGCAATCGCACAGATTGTGCTAAAAAACAAGTTTTACTTTGGTATGGTCTTCAAATCTTCTAGTTGTACGACCTGCTGCCAGATCCCAAAGACGCAAAGTTTTGTCCCATGAACCAGATAAAGCATAGTTACCATCGGAAGAAAGAACTACATCGCTTATGAAATGAGAATGACCGTACAGACGCTTCTGTGGAATACCATAATTAGCTTCGTCACGCGTAAGTTTCCACACAATCATTGTCTTATCTAGAATATATATAGACAAAAAATAATACATATATATATACTCGATATTGGTCTTACTTCGATAAATATGAAAGTAGACAGTTACTATCTCAAATTGTACTTGAAATATATTTATTGAATATTTTATTTTTGTGTACAAAACAAAAAAAGTTATCTCTTTCTTTCTCTCTTATAAAAAGTACCTTAATATATGCAGAAGATCAACAAATACAACGAAGTTTTACTATTTTCTATGTTTGAAATACTGATCTAACTAAAATTATCAAATTCAATTTTAAGACACATACACATACATATAATACAGCCAAAAAAAATACATATTTACGCGTTTACATATATATATATATATATATATATATATATATATATGTACTTATATGTTACAACATGTGTTCGCGTAGATTTGTTCCGGCCGCACTCCTCTGTAACTAAAAAACGAGAGAAAAAATCATATGTCGTGTATTCACCTCGAGAAGACGACAGTATCATATCTGGATATTTCGGGTTAGTTGCAATTTGTGTGACCCATCCATTGTGGCCGCGGAGCGTGCCTCGCAGTTGCAACGTTTCGGTCATTGCAGATCCTTTCCAGATGCGCGCGAGATCGACCAGATGAAAACAGATTTCTTTCCGTCAGCCAGCCACGCTCAATCATTCAGCTAAAAGACACTCACAGCGCGCCCAGCCGCAATCGGTGTCAAAAACCGGAAATAGCAAAGTTGGCGCATGCGAATACAACGCATCAGGAGCCTGTGAGCAGGGGTAGCACATAACAATTTTTCCCTAGGCCAACTACTAGGAAAACTACCTCGGAGCGAAAACTGAGAGGCCAGGGCTGTATCCACAGACTTCTATAGTATACTAGGCTGTGTTCAGTTAAGCAAGATGGAACGAACTAATGGAGGAAATGCAGGAAATACAGGAATTGGAACTAATGAATTCCTGTATTTCCTGCATTTCCTCCATTAGTTCGTTCCATTTTGCTTAACTGAGCACAGCCCTG